ATTGTACTTATACGAGAGATTTGCGTCTGAGAAGCGTTCGATGTCCGCCTGGGCCACTTCACCGGTAATTACTGTGCCTTTGGCATTCCGAAAGAGACTGTCTGGTTTAACCAGCTTTAGCGCTTCCCAGTTAGGGGCTATTTGTGAGTAGACATTAAAGGGCAAGGCTTTTTTGTCTTTTCGTAGAAGGAGGCAGGTCAAAGAGGATTTTTGTATAGGTTGCTCGCTGTTCGTTAGTCTGCTAGATGTCATAGAACTAGATTCAGCTGAAAGGGTGGGGTTAGCATGTAGTCGAGGTTTCTTTGTTATCACAGTACGGCCAAGGACAGGGGAGGGCGAAGGAAAGTCGTCGGTTCCCGAGAGGTCTGCCATTGTTGAGCTGTGGTCTTCTAAGCTTATTATGTGGCCGGATGAAGAGGCAGACATGGCTGTCTTCTTAGCACTTGGAAACACTGAGTTTTACTATAAACTAGTCACAGGAGTTGATCAATAATCAAAATTGATGTTCAAAACGCGGGACTAAGCACTTTGGACAGATATAGGTTCCAACTTAGAGCGATAGTAAGGTAGCACCTCTCACAATGAACGTTCTAGCAAGACTCCCAGTTGCAGAATCCTATATAAGGTTGACCCACGAAAAGTGGGTCAACCTTTCAGTTCAGCTTTCTTGTTACGTCACGTAGATCGAGAAACTTAAACAAATCCGTCATTCCATGATGGATTGGTTGACTGGTTTGAACGCATTTCGGTGATTGGTTAATGCCCGTGACGTCATTGAGATCAGTGACGTCACAGGCGAAAAACAAGCTCCATCCGCGAAAATGAGCTTCTCATGGGTCAACCTTATACTAGTTCAACCATGGTCCCGCCCACGTCGTCCCGCTCATGGTTGAACTAGTATATAGTTCAACCATGGTCCCGCTATTGGCATTTGCCTTAGCATTTATTTCCAGACCAATATAATTCATTTGATTATATATTTAGAAATAAACATTTGTGCAGAGATATGTATAGTTGAGCAAGCACTGTTTAATTTTGTGCATTTTACAATTTTGGAAACCTGTTCTGTTAATAAACTGCCATCAGAAGTTCAGAACCCAATGCTGACATGGTGAAGATTCAATCTTGGGCTTTTGATTTCAACGCTTATCTCAATGGCGACACGTTTTTTGCTTCACCCATCAAGATATTCCTACCGGGATTCTAGGTAGATTTATCTTCAATTGACCATAGTCAATAAAAATTTCAACATTTTAATGTTATTACAACCTGTATGGTGGAAACGAATGAATCAAATTTCTAATACTCCATTGTATATTAACGCCCTTTTTCAGTTATTCAGTGTGTGTGATGAAGGCCTAAATATTTTTGTACGTCTACCAACTCTTGAATCTCTAGGGCAGGGTGGCCCAGTGGTTAAAGTTCAGAGTACCAAGATTGACGCACTAGAGAGGCGCGGGTTCGATCCCAGCTCTGTGCGACAGTTTCTGGTCAGAATCGGCGAGGAGGCCGGGCGGCTAAGCACAGCAGAATTGTAGCAGTGCGTTGCGAGTTCGAGACCGCAAAATACTGTGAATGTTCTGCGATGTTAAGAATCGGCGACAGGCTTTCGGCCTAATAAACGCTGAAACCGCTATTATTATTATATTATTTATGAGAATAAATTACGCATCCACCTCCTCTCGGCTCTCTTCGGCATACTAACCATTTGAAAAGACTCAAAAGAATGCCAGGCACAGCAAGATATAGTTAAAAAATACTTGAAATTGACAATATTCAATCATGCGGTCAGGTTTTTCAAACGTACGTCTGTCCGGTTAGTATTTTGTTGAAGCCGCGAGAGCAATTGTCACCAGCCACGTTCAATTTGTGGCATGGTAAAAGCGGTGTCAGAGTTGATCAGGCCATTCTAAGCATCTCATTTTTCTCAAATCGGCCACTCTTGCTTTATTTTGGGAAGGCTTTTACTGGGTTACCAGAATAATTGGGGGTACCTCAATGTCAACGAAACGAATGTTGCTCAGAGAATCAGTTTCGCGATGCGTTAGACGGTTAGGATCTAGCGGAGGAATCATATTCTGCGCAAGCTGCACAGCCAGTCACACTGCATCTGCAGCCAACTGGTATTTCGTCTTCGCCGGATTGGAGACGCACGTTCATCATTCGTAACAATTTTCTCAGAGTTCCAAGAATGTACGACAGTCCGCGTATGAAGTATGAACCACTTCGCTTCACTCGAGAAAATACTGGAATAGCAAGCGTTATTATAGTTAAGGTAGAAGCAAAGTCCACTCTATCGAAGAAGTCGAGTTGTTAGGAAAAATTAATCCTGGACAAGCGACAGCCTATATTTCAACTGTTGCAAACTTTTCACGCTTGGCAGCAAGAGAAAATTCGAGAACTTCAAAGTTTGTAACAGCATGACTTGTGGCAAGTCGTGGTGTCGAGCAAATTCTAGTTTTCAATTTTAAATTTTCACTTATCCTCCACATTACGTACCATTAATCGTTGCAGCGAGCAAATCTTAATACAGGAAACTTACGAGTTTGGAACTTTGTGTACAAGATGCGACCAACGCCCAAGCCTTCAAGTCACAAACCCGAAAAGAGGGAGCTACATAAAAAATCCCACTATATTTTACCACCAATTTGATTTAGCTCTTCAGAGTTTCATTTAATTGTCGCAAGGAAAAAAATGCATTAGAACCTATTTTATTAAATTATTTTACATTTAACCTCGAGCAGTTTCCAGACACTATTCATTTCAACACCCTTTAGATTAAAACTATACCGATGAAAATTCCTCTACTGAACCTACATTAACGTAATAATTATAGTGGCTACCAACGGAAAGGGCTTAAATAATCCTTGGCCCTGTCGGCGATCATATCCAAAATATCGTACGACCAACAGTTGACGAGTTCAGTTATCCGATCGGGGCAGAAGAACTTAGGCACGGGATCGGGCTTTTTGAAAGGAAATGATCTGCCAGAGGGAGAAAGTCCCGAACCAGAGGAGGTGTCGTTGGTGTCATCTTCCTGTTTGGAGAGAACCACTCAAGTTACAACAAAATAAAAATATTAGTACCGCAAGGGTCCTGGAAACAATGTGCAACAGTACAAGGAGTCAAGTGTAGACTTTATACGAATTAGGACAACGGCTTCAAAATCAAGGTGAACTATAGAGGAAAGCCTTTCAAGGACGACAAATAGTCGCATCATATTGAAACTGTACGTAGTTTAAATACACGACCACTAAATAATTATAGAGGAACTCTAAAATGAATCCAACAAGATCTCACCGATGTAAGCCAGAGGTATATGCCTTCTTTCAGGAAAGGATAATCCTTCAGAGATGACACGAGCGTTTTCATATTCTGCAAAGATGAAAATATTTTGTTACATGGGGCTCAGTTCGGCAAGCAGACGTGGGAGCGAGTATAAATGCCACAAGACCCGTGGGAGAACCATTTGAAATACCTATCCCTACTATTATGGAATAGAAAATGAACATTTTCATTGAAAAGAATACAAAGCGCTTTATCAACACTTTGACGAATCTTACATTGAAAGTCTAATAGCATAAGATAACATTACAGGATAATTTACTTTTCCTAATACAAGATGTTAAAATTCTTATTTAGTCCTGGAAATCTATTTATGAAGCTGATGTTCTCCTAAGAAACTACAAACTCTTGGTAGTCGATATTAAATGCAAAGCATCACAGAAAATATAGTATGACAAGAATAAACGACTTACGACTTCACGCACCTCGTTGATGAGCTGGTTTATGAAATCGGGCTCGTCTTCATTTCCAGTTTCAGCGGTTACGACCTGAACCAACGACTCCGCGACGTGTTTCGCCGTTTCTACCATCATTGAATCCAAGTTGGCATTAACAGCTTTCAAAACTCCAGACAGGAAAGCTATAGATTCGTTTTGTGGTACGCTTAACTCTGGTGCAGGCTGGTACGTGAAGATTTTACGGAAATCTTCCACTCTGAATTGATGCACAATTTCTGCAACTGTCAAGTTAGCAAGAATACCTCGAGAATTTGAACCCTCGTTTTTCATTCCTTTCATTTTAGCAGCCGAAGGAGCTTCCGTTTCGGGTTCCGTAGTCGCGTGCTCTGACTGGGGGGCTTCAGTTGAATGGGTTTCCATACCATGACTTGAGTGAGGTACAGAAGAGTTTGTCGATCTGCCAGCTTCTGTGGGCATCGCACTGCTGCTAACCGGAACGTCAGCCAACGCCAAGAGGGCGATTAACGCCAACAGGCTCACCGCCGGAAGAACTCTGGCGGCAGTATGAAAATCGAGTTATTAATTACGGGACAACTAACTGTCTATTAGAAGTTAGACTCTTGCCAGACGACTTTGCGGACTTTCCGACCCATCCGTATAATGAACCTTGTAGAGTTCATCCATGGGCTTGGTAGTCAATTTATGATCGGACGAAACGTAGGATATATACTCAAAGAAATGTCATGAGGCGGGACAGCAAACCACGAGAGCACATTAAGGGTACTAATTTCAACCGAGGATTCCGCAAGTGGCGAACAAAAGCTTCAAAATAAGTCTTGGCGGGAGAAGTCCGCGAATTTTACGAGTAGTACCGTATCACTTCAATAAGCTCAGGTTAGGTCAAGTTTACTATCTTGCAACGAGTAGATTCTTGCAAGCATTCAATGGCTCAACCGTCACCATAGAGTTTCAAACATCACGTGTAACTGGTGCCATATATGTATACTTATAGACAGCGCCTGTCACATACGGTGCAGGGGCTGGCGAACCCAAGTTCAAAATACTACGGTGGATTGCTAAGTCAATCAAGCTCCAGCCCCATATACGCTTAGGAGATAGGAGCCGAGGAACATCCACGGTAATGACACATAATCACATTTACGCTTCGCAATGCGACCCACAATGGAATTAATTCAAGCGGCGATACTCACAGTGACTTCGGCATTATTTAATGCTCTGAATGGACGACCAAGTGACTTGCGAAGATCAATTGACCACGCTGCAAAACCAATCCTGCGATAAAAATTGACCTTACTAAACAAGAGCAAAAATTCATATAGCGAATGTGAAACTACATCGATTAATGACGTAATACAGCCTAGCCTACCTCCACACTACCTTATGGAACCAATTGAGTGAATTGAGTAACAAGGTAAATTTCGGAAAGTGTTTTCAATAACGGGCGATCATAATATACATACAGGAATAATTGAACTGGAATCTTGAAAACCAATGAATCATGAATCGCCACCAATTTGATAATTTTCCCAACGCTCAATCATTATACGTATAACTGACAAAGCTAACTCCTTCATATCTCGACACGAGATTCAATTCCCATAGTTGCACACTGCTCTTAATCGTAATCAAACCACCGCAATCTTTCAGGCTGCAAATTACAAAGCTATCTGCACAGCATACCCTTCCGCATTACCTGCCAAATCACTATAGTCACTGGCTCAAGTGAATGAAATGAGAATGCACTATAGTATGCTTTGCCAGTGTGACAGGAAGACGTGAAAGTGTGGAAAAAAATATATTTTAATTGTTTATTGTACATTATTTTGATCCATTGATGCATATAGAAAGATTTAAAATTCTTTGAAATTTAAGATACAAGTTTTTTTCCAAACAATATTCAACTAAAAATTTTACAATTGGTGCGCTTCGAGCGGGGTTGAGTCCCTCCACTCCCCAGCGAATTCAATCAGTCTTTTTACAGTCTATTTTTCCGTTGAATGATCAATATTCAACATAACTCTTACTGGCGGGATGCAAATGATGTCAGAGTTTTGTAAGCAAGGATGGTCCGGGACCAGTTGCCAGCAACTTGAACCATTATTCGTACAGTTTGACGTAGGTGCAAATGACTTCCAACTAAAGTAAGCATGACTCTTGCAATTTTAGGTGGATACATATGATATATGATAAACAAAAATATGGACCTTTCTTTCTTGCCGTTTATGACATTATTTAGGTAAATAATATCTCCTTTGTTGTATACGACTTCAGTCCTCTTAAAATTTGCCTTTCTATACGAGGTCATCTAGAAAGAAAAATAAAAACTTTTATGCTTGATTACGTTTTTTTAAGAGGAAGGCTATGCGGACTTTATCTTTTTATTTCAGAAATGCTCATACTTGAAATGTAAATACTTATCCAATGCTGAATGGTGGCACTAGAAACGAGGCAAGTAAAAACTTTTCTTCTGTTCAATAGTTGTACGTTCATTGCAAATTTCGGCCTGTATGACTGTATAGGTTGGCAATGAAGGCGAAACAAAAAATATAATATTTAAGATCTAAAAACCATCATTAGGCCCTAATAAAATATTTGCAAAGTTTCATCGACCTGCGTTCATTAGTTTGTGAGATATTTTATTTTCACTGAATCAGGTAGACCAGTGGTTCCCAAACTTTTTCAGGCTGGCGCCCCCTTTGGCTACTTAGTGAGTTTCTAGCGCCCCCCACAGACACATATAAAAACATACGCCTCTTTCTTGAAATTTAGTACGCTGCAATTTCAAAATATAAAGGTTAAACTCAAATGTGTATTTCACAAATTGAACCCCATTTAGTGAACCAATATGTTTTCAAGCTGTTTTAACTGTCTCAGCACTAGAAACCTATATAGGACGTCTCGGGCAAATTTACGGCCGGACTCGTGGCCGGTCTCACGACCAATCTCCAAATTCAGTTATCAAGTAATATCTCCCAAACTAATGAACGCAGCTCAATGAAACTTGGAACATGTATTCATCAGAAACTAACGGTGATTTTTTGGCTCGAAAAAATTTTAAATTTTACCTTCATTAGTGAGATATATTGCGATAAAGGCCGAAATTCGCAGTGACCAAATAATTTGAACGAAAATTTGAAATTGAACGAAATTTTGAATATACATTCCTAACTACCAAACGGTGATTTTTTAGCTTCACAAAATTTTCGATTTTACCTTCGTTTGCGAGTTTTTTTCATTTTACCGTCATTCTTGATTTCACACTTCCTTATATTCGGCCTGTATCGTCGGATAATTTGTCGCTTAAATTCGCGGTGATCAAGAAATTTCTTCTAAACTACTCAATAGATTTCAGCCAAACTTTGAATATAAATACCTAACCTCACAACGGTGATGTTTAGCTCGTGACAATTTTTCTATTTTGCTTTCGTTCGCGAGTTATACAGATATAGGAGGAACAACCGGCTTTTCTACCGGCCGGTTTAACTAAGAGCCGTTTACGAATGGATATCCGTATACTTATAGTCGTATAACTCGCAAACGAAGACAAAACGATAAATTTATAGCGAGCTAAACATCACCGTTGCTGAGGTTAGGTATTAAAATAATAAGTTTCATTCTAATATATTCAGTAGTTTTGGAGGAAATTTCTTGATTACTGCGAATTTAAGCACGTATTGCTGTTTAAATCACGAATGAAGGTGAAATAAAAAAAACTCGCGAACAAAGGCACAATCGAATAAATTTTCACGAGCTAACATTACCGTTCGGTAGTTAGGACTGAAAATTCAAAATTTCGTTCGAATCTGTTCAATAGTTGGAAGAAATTCCTTGTTCACTGTGAATTTCGGCCAGTTTTGCCATATAACTATGGCAAAAACAAATGAAGGCAAAATTCAAAAAAATTTCACGAACTAAACATTACCGTTAGGTCCCTAATGAATATGTGTACCAAGTTTCAACGAGTTAAGTTAATTAATTTGAGAGATATTCCTTGATCATTGAATTTGAAAATTGGCCGTGAGAATGGCCGCGAGTCCGGCCGTAAATTTGTCCGGGACGTAAACCCATGAGAGGTTAAAAAAATAGATCTGGCGGGTGAAAAAACCATCCCTGGGAGTCATGATGTGCTGCACGTGTTGTGTACAAATTGTCAAACAAACGTTGGAACTTCTGACTTTGACTTCGGACTGCCGCCCCCCTTATCGCCCCCCAAACGCCCTCTTCTTCCGTACCGCCCCCCAAAATCTTTCCACCGCCCCTAGGGGGGCGATATCGCCCACTTTGGGAACCACTGAGGTAGACCGACCGCATGACTGGCCGGAGAAGTGACGAGAGGTCATTTAGCAAGCGACACAACTACAACTTCGACTAATCAAAGCTACCGTATGTAAAAACAAAATTTTTATGTAAACTTGATCAGAATCAGCTAATTTATTCATAATTTTGCGCCTGATTTCCATGGAGCTAACATATGACATAAAAATATTCAATATTTAATGGGCAGGGTGGCCTAGTGGTTAAAGTTCTGAGTATCAAGATTGGAGCAGAGAGGTGCGTGTTCGATCCCTGCTACCTGCGCCTTTCTGGTCAGAATCGGCAAAGAGGCCGGGCGGTTAAGCAAAGAAAATTTTAAGCAGTGAGTTGCGAGTTCAAGCCCGCATCCCCACAACATGCTGTGAATGTTCTGCAATGTCAAGAATCGGCGACAGGCCTATAGGCCTAATAAACGCTGGATTTGGAGCGTGGTGACTCTGAAGAGAAGAACGACATTTCATAGTCAGGGCTTTGCAACGGCCATCAGCCACGCACCACACATTCATTTGTTAGTAGGAAGGGGGAAGAAAGGGAAACTATAAACAGCAAAGAGGGTGTGAAAGTTCGCGTTAGGGGTAAGATGAGAGCTAGGTGTAAAGGAGATCAAGAGGAAATTCATATGCTTTATTATTGCTATAAGCCTATATCTCAGTTTTGCCCTATGTAATTTACATTTATGTTAGTTATGTGTCCTCTAAAGCCCTGAGTGACTATCTGTGTTATATTGAATTATCATGGTTTGTTATTCTATCTTTATTAGGTACTGCTGCTCTCTACTGTCGTCCCCCGGCCTCCACTCTTGCCAGCCTCCTCCTCACTCTCACCCCCCATGCACTCTCCAGAAATCGCTTTCCACTCTCAGTCATAGCGGCTGTCACCCCCGTTGATAAGCCCACTATCATTGCCATCCATTCGTCTCCTGTTCTCTCATATACAACTCCGTCACTCTCATCTCTCGTCACCCTCGTTACGTTACACTCCATCATCAGATGCTCCACAGTTTCCCTCTCACCTCTGTCACACATGAAACAAATATCCTCTCTTCTCTCATTCCACCTGTATGTCCGCGCATTCACACTCAAAGCATTTGAGGGTGAATGCAACCGCTTTATTATTATTACATATTATATGGAACACTTCTTTCGTTAGGTTCCCTATTTGACAATGAGCTACTAGAAAATAAGTCTGACTGTTTAAAATAACCTCATCGAACGTGCAGTTTAGATTAACGTACTAGCAGTTTATATTTGGAAGTTAACACGCAGTGTCACTGACGAGGTTGCTTACGTTTTAGCGATCGCGGAACGTCACATTTTGTCTTGGAACAGGTCAGATTCAACAATTGCAATTTGTGGAAAACGTAAACATGGCCGATGAAAGAAGACGGGAATTGAGGCGCCGAAAGATTTTAGAAAATTCAGATGCTCGTCGTGATAAAATATTTGGATTGACTAAATCAACCAAATTACCTCTAACATTAGGTAAGTATAAAATTAGCTTGTGACTGAAGTGGGATGCTATTATTCTGAGAAATTTAAAATTAGTGTGTTCGGTTAATCGGTTTTGCCGACCTCGCCAAGTCCCAAGTCCAGCAAGTTGAAAATGTCATAACATAACATACTCAGTATTCAGTAAACATAATGATGTCGACGCTGAAGAGACCTAATGTGTCCTGTTGCAGATTCATGTATTTTTCATGTCTGGTTTGCAGGAGATCTAAAAGTAAGTCCTTTGACCGGATTTTTTCAAGACTGATGATAGTTAGAAATGCTACCGTCAAACGGGGTAATAAGGGACGAGCGGGGTAATAAGGGACAGTCCTTCAACATTTTGTAGAAATGCTTCAGCAGCAAAACTAATTGAAAAATTGGAAAAATAAAAATAGTGGCATAAAGTTCAACATTTTTCCCTATGATCCTATTCCTATCTATGGAGCAAAAGGCAAAGCCGCAAATTAGGGTAAACGCAGTATATTCCAACATCGTGGGTAATTCTGTCACGTGTCACCTCTTTAGTTTTTCCTTTATATTAAGCTTTGTTTTAGTTCCATGCGTTCGTTGATGGTTGAAATGGTGACCATAGTGGCAAACCAGAGCTTTTTTAGAATCAGTTCATTTTTAATTTTCTCATTTACTCAAGATTTAAACCAATTTCTTAAGTATGATAATGCTGGTATCCAGGATACTTTACTCAGTAAAGTAAAAAACCATGGATACCAAGGATACTTTTTCGATCCAACATCGTTATTTGAGGCAAAAAATGTACTTCTTAAAGGCTTGAAACACGTACGCTAACTTGCTCAGTTTCTATAAAGTACCTAATCACTTGGAAGTTGCAAGTCTGCACCTTTCACTCAACAATTAAAATTAGACTTATAAAAAGTATTAGTTAGTTGAAAATTTGTCTCTTAAGTTGACCACATTGAACTAAACTTCATTAAGTAATCATTAGGCAGAGTTTTTCATCATGCACAGTGCACACTAAACACGAAATTCAGAGTTCAGACGAGCCAAACTTCATATCACGTGAGCTAACGTGCTACTGAATTTAATTGCTTCTTTCCCGCTAACGGTGATCTAGCGGGATGATCAATCGTATACTTAATTCGTATACGGTTGTATACAAATTACGAATTAACTAATCGTTTGTATACTTAATTAATTGAAAAGGGCAACTGAGCTGGGAGCATCGAGCATCCTCACCATGGGGGACTTCAACTTTCCGGAAATAAACTGGGTAACTGAAAGGTGCGAGGCTGGTCCCAACCATATAGCATCACAATTCTTGAAAACCGTCAAAAACTGCTTCCTAATCCAGCATCAGAGAGAGCCCACAAGATTCAGGGAGGGAGAGAAGTCCAACACAGTGGACCTGATTTTCACAAACCGAGAGGAGATGGCGATGGAATGTGGGATGATGGCAGGCCTGGGAAAAAGTGACCACTTAACACTGCTAGTGACTATATCCTTCGTTTGCGAGGACCCACCCAGACTTAACAGACGCAACTTCAGGAAAATGGACAGTGCTGTGCTGAGAGGGGCATTAGCAGGCATTAATTGGCAAGACGAACTGAGCGGCCTGGAGGTGGACGAAACATGGACCAAAATCAAAAACAAAATAACTGAGGCAATTGAAGCATCAACTCCAATGTCGCGCACATCTGGCAGAAAAGGCAAAACTTGGATGGACAAAGACACTCTCACAATAGTAAGGAAGAAGCACAAACTCTTCAGGCGATGGCAAGAAACCCGCGATGGACAAGATTACCAAGCATACAAAAAAGTAAGAAATAAAGCCAGAAAGGACTGTCGCAATGCACAGAAGCAATTAGAAAAGAAAATCGCAGCTGAATCAAAAACCAACCCAAAGGCGTTCTGGCAGTACGTCAAATCCAAAACCAAGAGTCGTAGTGGAGTAGCCGACCTAATCAAGGAAGACGGAAGAAAAACAGAAAATGACCAGGAAAAAGCCAATCTACTAAATCATTTCTTTCAGAGCATTTTTACGCAGGAAGTTGGGGACACGATCCCCGAGCCAGCTGAGGCTTTGTTTGAGAAAGAATTCTTAAACTTTGAAGTTACTTTAGATAAAGTCAGAAAACAGCTTGCTGGCCTCCATGTTGGCAAGGCATCAGGACCAGATGGAATCCCTCATATCGTACTAGCGACTGCAGCAGATGAACTTGCGGAACCAGTGTTATGCCTATTTATACTTTCACTAGAAAAAGGACAGATTCCTGCAGATTGGAAGAAGGCAGCGGTAACTCCAGTGTTCAAGAAGGGAAGCAGAGCAGCAGCAAACAACTACCGCCCTGTAAGTTTAACGTGCATCCTGTGCAAAGTAATGGAGAGGCTGGTTAGGGAGCAGGCCCTGAAACACTTGGAGCAGAATAACCTACTTAGCAAACATCAGCATGGTTTTGTACCTAGACGTTCCTGCGTGACCCAACTACTAGACGTCATGGACATTTGGTCAAGCACTGTTGACGAGGGCGGAACAGTGGATGTAATATACATGGATTATCAAAAGGCGTTCGATAGTGTCCCTCATCGGAGATTGCTTGCGAAAGTATCAGCATTGGGCATCAGAGGAAACGTACTTGCTTGGATTCACAACTTTTTGTCAGACAGAAAGTTATATAAACAGGATTAATAAAATACCTATCAAATCCATCCAATGTCATTCAATTTGTGATGTATGAACGACAGTTTTACTTTGATTCCTATGATGCTCATTTTTACCGGTTGAAGCTGTAGAATTAAATTAAATTAAAAAATTAAATAAAATAAAATTTTACTAAATCAATATTTATTATTTAATACACTAGTTGGTACATGCTGTAGAATTAAATTCTATTAGAAAAATGTTGAATTAAAAATCTGATTATATATTTTAAATTAAAAATTAATCTTTATTGAATTAAATTGTATTATTAATGCACTATACCGTACATGCTCTATGTTTTCTATAATGAAATAGTTTCCCATATTAAACAACGAAAATTTTCTAAAAGACACAAAGACGTTCGAAAACGTGGGATGGCAGACGAAATCATTCAGAATTTGAAGTGAATTTATCAAGATAAATTCAATATAATATGGCAAAAAATTCAAATCTGGTATGTATAAATAGGTTTTTATAATTAAAAAAAACTTTCAATCATTTAAATCTCAGAATGGAATGTGAATCAAGTCTATTTATTATGAAATCAAACTAGACACAACCAAAACATAAGTGTGTGACACCGTCTTGTGAGAAGTAAACAGAAAACACCATGTGAATGTACGAAGTGAAAGAGTCGAAGTTTATCTCGTAATTTTGTGTGAAATCGAAAACTTTGTGGGTGTTGTCCAATCGTGAGAATTTTTTACGAAGCTGGATGTGTTTTTTTTTATTTTAGAACGTATTCATTGCAAAAATGTGTCCGATAGCCTACAGATAAATGACTAGTTAACTTGATTAGTCGTTGGCAACACGGGATTGGATTTCAAACCACGCGCAATTTTCAAATGAGCTCAGTTCGTAAATTTTCATTGCAGTGGAAGGTGGTGTAACGCGGTGGTAGGGTTTGTATTTCGATATGTTTTCTTATATTGACATGAGAATATATTACCTATACAGAATTCCACACTGCTTTACTGGTCTACTTATAGGACTCAGAAATGAACTTGAGGGGGAGTCTAAAAAACTCTCTGCTTTGCCACTATGATGGTGACGTCATACATTTGCGTGTCAAACTAGGCCTACTGCCAATACACTAGGTCTTGGCATCTAGCAGGAAAATATTGAGATCCAAAGAGAGACGATGCACACCATAGTGACAAACCAGAGATTTTTTTAGAATCAATTCATTTTTAATTTCCTCATTTACTCAAGACTTAAACCAATTTCTTATGTAAGATAATGCTGGTATCCATGATACTTTACTGGTCTACTTATAGGACTCAAAAATGAACTTGAGGGAGAGTCTAAAAAACTCTCTGCTTTGCACGCTACCCAGTGAGATCATCGAAAAATGTGTCAAATTTGACAGTTGACCTTGCTCTACCAAATAGTGAATAACTGTTTGTATAGGAAGAATATTATGGTTTGAGACTTTCAAATATGTCTGTGAATATATTAGGAATCCTTTAAGTATACTTGTATTCACTGATTTCAAGTGGTAAATAAATTAATAGATGATTAAGTTGAGAAATGGATTTAGACACATGAAAACTAATTCCATCACAACTTGAATTGGACACACACAGATCGTTCCAAGCTGTGTACAAAAATTAAAATTTGCTTAATTAAAAGCCTAATAGTTTTTAATTAAAAGCGTAATTAAGTACCTAGTGTTCAATATTTATTAGTGTTCTAATTCAAAGCCGTGTTGTATTCCAATACAGCTCACACAGCAAACAGAATTCGAACACGTGGATGATGGCATTATGCATCAGTAGAATTTGAAGCGCGGATGGAATACGCCTCACCACGTGCCGAATATAGCCACACACAGTGACAGAATATAGGGATTTGGTAGGTTTGCATTCTAAAGGCTTTTAAATAAATATGGCAACATTTTGTGACGTTTCGTCATTGCTGACGCGTAGTGCGGTGTTTTGAGAGTCACATAAAGCAAACAGAACTTGAGTAATGCATACGGTTATTTTTTTATAGTTTTTCATTTCTTGATGCGTCCTTAATGTGATGGAATATACGGTACCGTGTTTACCTACCCTAACAACAAAATTTTTTTATTACATTTACCTTGCTCAGCAAAAAAATGTAACTTATCATTTAAGTAATGCATCAATGGTCAGCACAAAATTGTGCATAGAATGTCATAGATAGAATTGTTTACTAGGCAATATAGAATGAAAAGTAATTGACCTAAAGTCCTAAACTATGATTTTTTTCTCAAAAAAATGTGATGGTTGTCACTAAAATATTCCTTTCTGTTTCAGGTATGTTTTATATAGTTTTATTTTTTTGTTATATTCAATTCACTTGGCTCAATTAAAATGATGCAAAATTACAAGCCATCCTGTAATCCTAGCTACAGATCATCCTGTAACCTCTCGCAGTCTAGGCCATCTGTGATCTTCATCAGCACTCTTGTATCGTCCGCAAATGACGATGTAGATGCGTGGGTGAGTTCTGAGTCAATATTGGCAATGTGGATGAGGAAGAGGATACAGAGGAAATGCTACATGGCTGCTGATATGAAGCTTGCAGTGACAATGTTGTTGTCAATGTTCAATGGCATGTCCATGGTTTAGGTAATATTGCACCAATATTATAGTAATGTATGGATAAGGTAAAATAAAATCAATAAAGGAAAAAAAAAATCACAGAAAATGTCATATATTCTACATCTACATCATCTACAAATGAAGAGGAAGACTTCAGAAAACTGTTAGTAATGAATGAGTACACTCTTGAATGACCCTAATAACAAGACATTCATGTCATTAAGTTTGGAATATCTCACTCCTTACCAAAGTCTTTTGACTCAAATGCAATGTATTTTGAATAAATTTGAAATCTTTTAGACTGTTGCTTTATTTGTAAAGTTCTAATAACAATTAGGTTATAATTGATCAAACATCAATGCCAGCTACCTCCTCACAGCAGTTATATATATTGTCAGCAATATGAAATTATTGTAGTAATTACATATATTGTGTATGAAATGAGTTTTAGTTGCCATTAATGCATAGCTTGAAAAATTATATAATGCCAGAGAATTTCAGGTTTATTCATGGTTATAAATCAGCATCCAGCCATTTTAATTGTAGGTATATAAAGTTCTCAATTTTGTTTGTCATCAAGAGAGTTAGAATTGGAATGATCGTCAAGGGAGGCCCAGTATTACTCAGAATGGTTATCAGTCCTCAAGTGGCAGGCTAAGGTACAAACAATGCACATCTCCATTGATCTAAAATTAAATTTCTCTTGTTCAAATTGATCATTAATCAACTTCTGTATTTTGTAGCAATCTTGTTGATTGTATAAAAGTGTGTTAAGCAACCTCCAAGGAGGACTTGTTAAATAAACTTTTCCATTTTGTCCATTTAGAATCTAGTTGTTTACAATATGTTTTATATGAAATTAAGCACTACATTTTGCTTGATTTTTAATTTTTGTCATCAGATCAAACCAACTCTGAAGAAGTCCAATCCACACCATTGTTTTCAACATCAACTCCACTGACTGGTGCTGACCTAAGTTCTCGTCCTCACATTCCATTTCTGCTCAAGCCGCCAAGAACTGTACAAGACTGCAGCAATGTTGGCACCACTCCCCTCTCATCCAGAGACTCCACTCCACTTGTGACCCGACATGCAGGGTCTGATTGGCAAAATGCCAATGACATCAATGTGATAGCATCCGAAACTAGGAAGGTGAACTTTTTACTATCTAATAATGGTTTGTCTAATCAAAAAGCATCTCACTCTGCCTTTCTTGATGATCCTAGATTATCAAATGAAAGTGATCTTACTTTAGGGACCAGTTTTAATGGCTCTCGTGCTGCTACCAATGTATATACTAGATACATATATGCTTTTGCTCCTTGTTTTCTTGCATTAATTGTATGTTTCTTCTTACAACTTGAGCTAGGACATGTTGTATTCAACAGTGTAGCTTTGCCTATAATATTATACGAGTGTCATAGCTTGGCAACAAAGCTTTACCTACAAAATTTGGATCAAGAACTGAACAATCCAGGTTTATGGACCGCAGTGCTGGCTTGGTGTGGTGTTTCTCATGTTGTTATTTCTCACTGTCTGAAAATTATATTTGTTCTGAGAGACTTGGGGCCAAGTTTTGCTATGTACTTGGTAACCGTTGTTCTGTGGCACACATTCTTGGGACTGCCAGCTGATGAAAATATTGTTACTAGTTGAATGAACTAATTTGCTGTTTTGAACATCACCGCAATATACAAGACCTTATGGCCTTCCTGGATATAATAAGAACTTACCAGAGGTAGCTGTATTTCATTTTGTAATAATTTCTTAGCTGGTTTTGAAATAAGGTTAAGGTTTCTCACTTTATTGAATAATATTTTTTAATGATAGTGTCAGCGTACAACATGAGTTACTGTAGTTCTGTGATAAGAGTCAAATGCCATAAATCGGAAACTTGAACCAGCATGAAATCTCATGCTTCTGTTTTTTCATGCTTTCAGATATTTGAACGTTTTAAAAGTGGGAATTTAGCAAACCTTACATTTTTTACTTTATTCAACAGTGCAGTTTAATTTTGATCAGATCATCAGGTATCTGTCAATAAAAAGCCTAAGTTCCTAATTAAAAAAAAGGAAATTATTAACTCTTATGACAAATCTGAACAATCCTAAATATTTGCTAAATGTTAGAATCTGCGTGAAATTAAACAGAGAAGTTAATTAGACCTCAGCTGCATTTCCCTGTTCCTAACGTACTGTCATCAGGCAAGTCTTGAAAGTCCTACTCTGAGGCGTCTATTCTCAGTAATTTGTGGCTCTCACCGCTTTTACAGTAATGCTACCGTACCCTATATGTGCGCCAATATTCTAGGTTCTAATTTTATTTAAGATGTTTATCTGTCTGCCCATTTATTAACGAATAAAGTTTTTCTGTCCAGAATTATACATTGTTACCCCTTTGTTAATATCAAATTAAGTTCACTATCTACAATAGTGCTTTGAAAAGTTCAAGTTCGTGGTGTTCGAAACTCGAACGAAGCCTGTATGGACATCAAAGTCTTGTGTGGTTTATTGTGCTTAATTGAATTACTCAAGCGTATTTTGTCAAAGACGAAATAAAATACTAATTAGCACCGCCTTGTAAATTAAAACATGCCAGCGTTCGTGTGTTATTGGTAAAGCCCTCAATTAATAAAGACATTACAAATCAATCGCAATTAATAGTAATTAAAGTGTGGTCTTGTACTCGAATTCTATAAAGATCAAATAGTATGTGAAATTCTCTGAGCAATTAACAACGTATGTAACAATGATTTCAAATGTGGTTTGCTGCTGTAGTCCTGCCTCAGAATTAAGTGAAAAGTAATTCAGCTTGGTGGATAATCAACAAGACTCTTCATTGGCAGCTTTATTATCGATTTAGGTTTCAACCCATATTTATTTAGGTTCAATTGAACGTGAGAGTTTATTCTTGCCAGCATTTCGATACTATTTTAGCAGCGCTATATCGTCCTCTAAGCACTCTCCGTCTTACACGATCTTGGTGTTTGAGAGTGAAGACTAGTCTGCGGATTGTTTTTCTATAAGACTTGTTTATGAGTCTTTGATTTTCAAAGAACAGTTCCCTCTCGATTGCTTCAGAAAGAATATCAAGATCAATGTTTACAGGAACAATGTTCTTTGAGCTTGTGTCTTCGTGAAGAGTTATTTCGTCATTTGAGCGAGCAGACGAAGATGAATGCTTTGTTCTAGGACTGGTGTTTTCTTTTGAGTTGATTTGTTCTGTGTTGGAAGTTTTGACGGACGCAGATGTTGCAAGTTTAGCTGAATTGACCGAAGATTTGTTTTCCCTGTTGCTAGGGTTTGTATGATGGTGAACCACATCGGAATGAGACGTAGGCATTGACTTTTCATTTAAACACTTGTTCTGCAATACATCTGAATTTTCCTTTTCCATTGAAACACAACAGTACTTCTGCCTTGAATCAGTAGGCGAATCGGTTTGATGTTTATCATTCAATTTAGACCGTACAGTTTTTTCGTTCAGAGAAGTAAAAGTAGCTTCCAGTTCTGAAGGTTGTACCAAAATTGGTTTGGGATTTCCGATTGAAGGGCATTTACTTGAATAACCTTCCATGAGATTTGAGTGTGAGTCGTCATCTAGACCATTTTGGCAGCGAGATAAAGCTTCTGAAATGATCGAAGATGAGTAAACCTCTTGGTTTGCATTTAGTGAGTGAGATGAGTTTCTTTCTTTTTTATAACCGTTCTTATTCGAGGCTTTATTTTCCTTCGAATGCTTGACATTAGAAGACCGATTTTCCTTTGAATGCTTGTCATTCGAGGCCCGATTTTCCTTTGAATGTTTGTCATTCGAGGACCGATTTTCCTGTGAATGTTTGTCATTCGAGGCCCGATTTTCCTTTGAATGCTTGTCATTCGAGGCCCGATTTTCATTTGAATGCTTGTCATTTGAGGCCCGATTTTCCTTTGAATGTTTGTCATTCGAGGACCGATTTTCCTTTGAATGTTTGTCATTCGAGGCCCGATTTTCCTTTGAATGCTTGTCATTCGAGGACCGATTTTCCTTTGAATGCTTGTCATTCGAGGCCCGATTTTGCTTTGAATGTTTGTCATCCGAGGACCGATTTTCCTGTGAATGTTTGTCATTCGACGACCGATTTTCCTTTGAATGTTTGTCATTCGAGGACCGATTTTCCTGTGAATGTTTGTCATTCGAGGACCGATTTTCCTTTGAATGTTTGTCATTCGAGGACCGATTTTCCTGTGAATGTTTCTCATTCGAGGACCGATTTTCCTTTGAATGTTTGTCATTCGAGGACCGATTTTCCTGTGAATGTTTGTCATTCGAGGCCCGATTTTCCTTTGAATGTTTGTCATTCGAGGCCCGATTTTCCTGTGAATGTTTGTCATTTTTCGAGGCCCGATTTTCATTTGAATGTTTGTTATTCGAAGCCCTTTTTTTATTTGAATGCTTGTCATTCGAGGCCCGATTTTCATTTGAATGTTTATCATTTGAGGCCTGGGTTTCCTTGGAATGATCATCATTTAAGCCCCTTTTTTCTTTAGAATTGTTCTTACCATTCGAGGCCTGGTTATCTTTGGGACGTTCCTTCTCGCGCGCGCGGCTTTCAGCCACCGAAAGGCTAAGTTCCGGAAAACAATTCTTCGTTTCAGTCCCGGGATATTCGTCATTTTTAATTCCTGAAGAGTCGGTAAGTAGTTGCCTATCACTCATGATGGTCTTGTCAGCTGCTGACGTACGGCATTCAAGCTTAACTTTTTTTGGTCTACTTTGCTCATCAGCGTTATCAAGTTTCCTTTTCTTCTCGAATTGACGTGCATCTTTCTTATCAAAACAATTATTTTCTTGCAGGTCGATGTTAACATTGACATTAAGTATTTTGCTAGAATCGAGAGCTGACGAAGCAGAAGTTAGAATCTTTTCATGATCCTCGAAAGAAGGCTCATCGGCAAGAATTTCTTTTTGTAAATCACTTATATTCGTGACTCCATCAGTAGACTCCTTCGCTCCAGGTTTTCCTTGTAGATCACTTTTATTACCTCCAGTAGACACATCGGCCCCATGTTTTCCTTGTAAATCACTTTTATTACCTCCAGTAGACACATCGGCCCCAGGTTTTCCTTGTTGTAGTTCACTCATGGCGTTCTCGTACCTGTCTAAGTCGATCCTGATGCCTTTACTGTAGCCCAAACTCGTGGTGCTAACCACGGTACCCAAGTCGCTCATGTATCGCTCATCCATAGACAGATTCTCACATATTACCTGCTTTTTCCTACCAGAAGAAGACTCGGGAGCAGTAAGGTTTGATTGAAGTGCTTCTTTGATCAAGTTCCTGGCAGAATTTCTCACTTTCTGAGTGCGTAAGTCAAAAACGGCTTCGATAATTGGACGATTCTTTTTTAGTTTGTGGTGCCGTTTCCAAATCTTGTGGACGCGCTTAGCTTCGGCTGCGACCGCCGGGTCCGGAGCTCCGCGTAGAGCTGAGACCACCTCACCTACAGTAAAAATTTATTAGCGAATTTAAACTAGACGAAGCTTGTCATAACTAGGAAATTTAAATTCACTGCTTAACGGAGCATAAAAAAATATAACTCAGTACTCAGTGCAGTGAGTGACAGAAAGCGCATTTTCTCGTCGACGAAAACTTGAGATCACGGTCGGACGGACAGACAGACGAACATGGCGAGCACAATACTGCATTTTTTCCATAAATGAGAAAATGCACTAAAAAGCAGCGGAGCATGGAATAAATCATTATTTCATAACATTACGCGAATAAAATCTTGAAATTTCGACAATCTGAAGGCCTTACCAATGCCAGTGGAGTCGAGGATGGACTTGGTTGGAGTCTTCTTGGCCAGCAAGCCGAGTTGCTGGAGCAAATCTCCAGTCGTGGAGTCAGGGCGACACAGCGCCAGCTTGGCACGCTCCAGGTCCTCCAGCACCACCACTCCCTAAAGAAATATTTACTATACGTACAATTCACCAAGAAAATATTTATACGAACAATTAATTCACTTATTCACTAAATAAAATATTTATGTATACGATTCACTTATTAACGTCAATCAGAGGAATGAGTGGCACATCGGGGCTACGTCCGCCCTCTGTTCGTGCTGTTAGCAAGACATTGTGTTAGCGTTTGGACAATATGACTTATCAATTTTTCTGAGTGTACATGCTGTCTACTCACCTTCAGTCCCTCTAACGTCATCTGCTTCAGTTTCTTCACAGGCTGCACTACAGACGCTGGTCGCGGCTCAGTCCTGGGAGTTCTAATGATGTACTTATCCATTTTATATGGTTTTTTTAACGGCTTTTTCAAGATTCTTTTTGGCAGAATTAAGAGTAATGAGATGCAAATGATACGGGAGCATTAACGTTGTCCGTTTATTTGAGATTCTTTTCAGTAGAATTCAGGAGAATGAGTTACGGATGGTGCGGGAATTTTATACGAAATTCCGACGGAATAAAAATACGGTAACTCAGCAGGGTAGAGGAAAAGATAAGTAGTGTTAATTCTGCCTGATTAATCGTTCAAACTGTCCAGAGTTTGGGACAAAATGTAGCTTTTGCTGGGATTATAACAACTCCAAGAAGGAATTGCTGGGATAAATCGTGATTATACTTTCTTCTCTGGTCACGTGGATTAGTTAGTTTTTGCCGCGATGGTTCAGAATTTCAGGCGTTAATATAATTCAAAAAGCCCGTATTGTTTTCCAGCAACGTTCAGCATGGAACTACTTCCCTTGCATCTATAATATCACAGATGTTTATGTTTGAAGACGGTTATAATTAGCACCGCGGCAGAAAGAGAGCAAGCGATAGTTAGAACTCTGAACTGGTAATGCAAATTAATGTTGATGTTAGTTCCTGTTGATGTAAATCCACGATGATGTAAATTCACGATGATGTAAATTCACGTTGATGCAAGTTCACGTCGATGCAAGTTTACGTTGCTATAAATTCACGGTGGTGAAAATGAAGTCGACTTTCTTAAGAAGTTTTTACTTTAGCTTCTCAAACGACGCTCCATTGGCTGTGATCAAACCCGTCCACCAATGCCATAAAAACACTTTAATTAGAATTAAAAATAAGTAACACAGAAATATCGTTTGCGGATAAAAACGTACAAATTGTCAGCTAAATTTAAAAAATGTCAATCTGCAAAAAAGGAAGATTCAGCCAGGAGGAGAATTTGAACCTTATTTATAACGCATGATATTTTTAAATATCCGAAAACGGACAAATTAAAAATTCCGAGGCGGTAGAAAGTGCAATGAAGAAATGGAAACTCTTTTGGATGCTGGAAATTTTGCGAACATCGATTATGAGCCCGCCGATAATTTGTGAAAAAATTGCGCTATTGCATAAACTCAAATAAAAAAAACGTATTGTAAAAATATAGGATTTTAAGATAAACTCCAGGAATGTTGCGGCCGTACAAGTTACGGCGACCGAGCAAGTTACGGCGACCGTACAAGTTACGGCGACCGTGCAANGCGGCCGTCCAAGTTACGGCGACCGTACAAGTTACGGCGGCCGTACAAGTTACGGCGACCGTAACAACTCAAGTTTGGCTCTGGTGACAAGGAACGCCACGTCCTTCCTCCTGCTTGTCTTTGCAGTCCAAAATACGACAAATAATTTCGAAAATAATTTAAAGTTTGAAGCTTTGAATTACTAAATTTTGAAAGGAGTTTTTGCCGCGAAAATTCATGAGTTCTTTAAGAAGTGACATTAAATCTTCAGCATTAGTGACAAGTATCAGATCAATAGAAGAACGTGAGGTATTTTAGACCGCAAAAACATAACATTGGTTAGAATCATGACGAGATACTAACCGTTTATTATCAGGAGCCATAGTCATGTATAATTTTTATGAACTATTCACATTCTAATTTGGTCACATTTTAAGCTAGTAAAGATTAAAGTGGAACATTTATCCGTTTTGATCGGAATTCCACAAAATGGGACAATAATAAAAATCAACTTATTCATGACACGCCTGTAATCGTTTGTATACATGACACGTCTGCAAAGATGTACCAATTAATTAAACGACCTTGGAACACTCATCGCCTAGTGGAGTGAGAAACAGGATCGTTTGTTTCTATTTCCGCTGCACGGGCAAAAATATCGTCTTCTTTCCCCTGTAGGGAAATTAATTTTCACTAGCTTCTCTATTAAAATATACCAGGTTAAGAATTCATGGGACAAATTTCCAGCTGTGTGGACTGATAAAATTATATGCGTACAACGAAAATAGCTTACTTTCATTGAAGGAGCGTGTCGCTTCTGCTTCTCATTTCTTTCCCTTCTTGTCAATAAAGCTCAGTATATTTGAGGCAGTCACATTGCATAAAATATCGATAATGTTATCATAAAAAAATTCAAGTCAACGAAATCAAGTTCAAGTAGACCTTTTATTGGGAAGTAGTGATCTGAATCTGTTACAATCTGTGAGCTAAAAATTTGATTCAATTTCATTAGTGGGTTTTTAAGGAGATGGAAAATTAAGATTTATTACCGATAGTCAATTGAATACAAATTCATCCCTCCAGAGTTGAAATCTTGCACATACTTATTCTTTCTGGCAAGAATGCTCAACATTAATTATTAATAAAAAATCAAAATTTTTCCTAGAAACATCGCTCACCTCGAACAACGGATAATTGAGAAATATGAGTTTTTCCTGACATGTGCTGTAAATGTTGAGAGTTTGTAACTCCGTCAGCCAATCACTGACGGCCTTTCAAGCTAAATTCGCCGATCATAGACGATGAATAGCCCGCTACGTGTACATAGGCCGCTACGTGTACTTAGGCCGCTACGTGTACTTAGGCCGCTACGTGTACTTAGGCCGTTACATGTACTTAGGTCGTTGCGGGTACATAGGCCGTTATGCGTACTTAGGCCGTTATGAGTACTAAGGTCGCTACGTGTACTTAGGCCACTGGTGTACGTAAGTGAGTTTTAAAGTACGGCCCTGGAACGACAATGCAAGAAGTGACAGGAGAGGAAGAAGAATAAGAAGCTGGAATATGATTTACTGTAAATTTCAAAACACAGAGGAGCTATAAGAGTAAATATACATATAGCTTATGAAATTATTTCAATCCTGTGCCTAACAGGAAAAATTATAGAAAAGCAAGGGAATATTACAGAACAAAATCAAGCTAATATTTCAGAGATGGAAATATGTTACATCGTAAAGCCTTTATATTCTACAGGTACAGTTGAAGACAGTTTAATAATGACGATTGATTGATGTATAAGAGTTCTTCAATATCATTCTTCCAAATAAAAATTTCCGCTTGGATTAATTGTTTAATGACACCGAGAATTTCCTTTCTAAACCAAAATTTAATTATTACCTAACGATTCTTTGATGTATAAGCGTACCTGAATAATTTTCCAAATGAAAATTTCTGAAGAACAGCTTGAATTAACAATATCATAACAAAACTAAAAGAAAATGATTAACTGCATACAAAAATAACCAAGCCTAAAATGAGCTGCCAGACAACAGGTTCTTGATCTCGCACACAGAAAAATGAATGGGTCAAATTGCCCAAATTACGACACACTTCCTATCCAGCAAAATGAGAAAAAAGCGTACGTAGTACTGATACGTACACCCACTTCGTCTGGCCAAACAGGGTTAGAATGGCCCATACAAGGGCAAAAAGTGCATAGTTATTTGGACAAAGTCGTCGAGTGATGCAACCGTCACGACCGGCAACCGTCTATTACGGTTGCCGGTCAATCAATGAATCAAAATGAATCAATCCGCTCTGGCAGGACCTCAGACAACACCACCACATAACCTCGACCCTACAGCTCTGGAGCGACCCCCTGTCGGTGGTGTAGTACTTGCGCGAGGGGGGTCTCTTGTAAAAATGAGACCGGGGAACCACAACAACAACAACAACAACCGTCTCCTACAGCCGGGCAATCGTGGCCAAATCCCGCGCAATCCCATCCAACCAATCATTCGTGATCATATTCAATGCAATCCGTGGCCAAATCCCGCGCAATCCCATCCAACCAATCATTCGTGATCATATTCAATGCAATCAATCAATCGTGTTCCTATCTTATAAAATTACGCAATCGTTATATCAATGATTCCAGTTCTGTCCAATCAATGGTAATCCAATTATATGCAATCAATCGTGTTCCAATCCTATGTCCATTTAAACTATGGCCATCCGTAAGAAAAGAGAAGCATGTAGTAAATGATTGCAAAAGGTTGACAGAAATTGATTAAACGGTTTAGTTATTGGAAAAAAATCATTTATGACGTGATTAAGCAAAAAACTAACACTCCGTATTTAGCGCATGATATTAATTTTTTCCAAGAAAATAGAGATTCTTAAAAAAACCTGCATTTCGTCTTTTTTAAAAAAAATACAAGATTAATTTTGCACTCCATGATTATAATCAAAATTGATCCTAAAAAAATAAAAGTCCATCCTGCTACATTCGCAAACATGTATAAATAATAGTAGAATGTTTTGACCGTAAGGCTTGAATGTAGAAAATGACTTCAAATTGAATAAAGAACAAGCGCTTCTCTATCGATATTATAATACAAAATACAATTATAGATAATATATCTAGAAAAAAAACGCCTCTATTTGAGGTCGTTCAAAAGCCATCCTCGTGAAAGCTTGACAGCTTTCACGCCCACGGAGCAAAGCAATGAATCAAGTCACGGTATAAAATGTTTCGCGAGATGAATATCAGAGAGCAATGACATCATGATATATAGCAGAGATATTTGCAATATATTTCCTTACACAGCATCATGATGCAAAGCAAATATTTCTATACGTACTTGTGAAAGGTAAAAATGCACAGCGTGGTAATTAGATAGACGCCTAACGTCCATCAGTAACTTCAGGAATGGGAGCCGATGTCAACTTTATATTACCTCGAAAACCACTTGCTTCTATTTTAATGGAGAGCAAAATATGTTGATGTTATTTTAACACGAGGTGCCTAACGGATGTTTGAAGTGATTATTCATCATAGTTGCGAGTGTGGAATGGATTCATAATTATATTCATAGTCTCAACTTGCTCGCTCGAAACTATCACCGAGCATCAAGGAACGAAACTGCTATAGTTTACCTTCGCACTATTCCCAGTTCATAGAAGTTACAAAGGCAGGTTTAATGTACGGGAAAGATGAAACATGCAACTTAATTAGGTATAGAAATATGACCACTTTACTCAGGCAGCGACCTGGACAATAGGTTCCAGCGTATATTTACTCAGCTGGAAATTATGGTAGAACTTTCAGCGGCCAGACGTTAGCTGTTACAGTCCCACGATTTCTTTGCAGAGATTTGCTACAGGGCGAAAATCGTTTCAGCGAAGTTCATCTCAGTGTCTGAAAAAATTAATTTAATTGTTGTTGTGGAAATAAAAGTAGACTATTATGATATAAATATACTAATTTCAAAACTAGAAAAAGCAGCAGAAGTAGCTAACTGATTCATCACAAGATTTACCAGTGCTCATTAGTGCCCAACGACATGATAGCACTGGTGCCATTCTGGCTTGAGTTGAAAAGTTAATAAATTTATATTTTCACCAGAAAGATGATTTAAAAAAAACAACGTGTATGTTCAAACGATGGGCCAAAGTAGGGCATACAAATCATACAGGAATCTATTTATTGGAGATTTAAGAACGCGCGACAACAGTTGTACATGTGGCCCCTCTTTGTGTAGATGTAGACGGTAATATATCTTGATAACTGCAGAGATTAAATAAATAAACATACATATGCAGTTTTTGGGAGAAAATGTCAGGTGAATAATGAAATAAGTAGCACGAAAGAACGCACGCAGAAATTGTTCTTACTCTCACCGGGACCTTGATCGGCGGCTTGGTCGCCTGTCCCGAGATCTACTGCGCCTGTCCCGGGATCTACTGCGCCTGTCCCGGGACCTGTGTCGGCGGGACCGAGATGAACGACGTCGGCTCCGGGATCGGGATCTGCGTCGTCGGGAGCTTCGGGTTCGGGATCGGGAGCGGCTTCGGGACCGGCTGCGGGAGCTGCTGTAGCTCCGGCGGTGATACCTGAGGAAAACCAATATCACTTTACCTTTCACGGTCCATAATTTGATCAAATGTGAGAAAATGAAATGAGGAATCTATGTAAAATTACTATAATCTAAAAATTTAATCCAAAGAGAAACAGAAAAAAGGAAATTTTATTCCTTTTATATATTATTCGTAGGTTTCGAAACTTTATCGTCACGAGGAACGCCCCCAAGAAAAATGTTAAGAATCGTAACTCCATGATGCCTGATTGCATTACATCAATAGAAAGTACGAGAATCAGTAAGCTATCAGAAACCTAAGTAACAATTAAGACCAGAAGACGAAAATACAGAGTCAGACAGAGATGTATAAACGCGATTTCAGAAGCAACAGAGACGTGGTCGATAGAGCATTGTGTGTGCAACAGGTTTGTTGAGACGGCCTTTCTGCTATTAAAACATAGAGACACTTTCCGGAACTATTTCATCGTTAGGAATCATGATTGTGTTCCAAAATTTGCAGCGATAATTAAGAGGGAAAATAGATTTAAACCAAACTTGTATTTCAAGGCCTGGTGACTCAACGAGGAGTTGGTAGAACAGTAAGTAACCCGAAAAAAGTGCGCGTGAAACAATTGCATGAATATACAGGACGCTTGAACGTCGAGGGCAGGCTTCAATTGCTTGACAAACGCGTTTGATAACCGCGGATTGCGTCGGCCGATTAACTAGCTGCCGGGTCTAAAAGATCATGTTTGTGCAAAGCTACCTATTAAGCCACTTCATTATCATGTCAAACTCAGGAACACGACCATAGGGGGCAACGTTGAAATTAAACTGGAAAAGTCTCTGCGTTCCAATTGCAAAAAGGTCCATTTCCATTAACGCATTTCAACAAAAACATACGGCGCTGTAGCGACCACGTCGCTATAGCTACTAAAATGGCATCTCTCGACGACGAGATACCGCTACTGTCGATCACATAAAGTTATTCCCATCTCACGTGTTTAAATCATCTATACTTTCTGTACCTAAACTAGGTATCTTCAGTTGGACACTGCAAGACTACCAAGAGATCATAAGACTAAGAACTAACTAAGACCAGAAGACGGTAGTATCAAACTTATGCAGTTGGACACTGCAATACTACTAAGATATCATAAAAGATAATCCATCCACCTATCAACTAATAAAGAACTAACAAAGACCAGCAAACGGTAGTATTAAACTTATGCATCTAATTAAGGACTAACAAAGACCAGCAGACGGTAGTATTAAACTTATGCAGTTGGGCACCGCATGAGTGCCAAGAGATAATCCACCTATAATCTAATTAAGGACTAACGAAGACCAGCACAAGGTAGTATTAAACTTATGCAGTTGGGCACCGCATGAGAGATAATGCACTAAGAGATAATCCACATATTAACTAATAAAGAACTAACAAAGACCAGCAGACGGTAGTATTAAACTTATGCAGTTGGGCACCACAAGATTTCTAAGAGTTAATCCACCTATCAACTAATAAGTAACTAACAAAGACCAGCAGACGGTAGTATTAAACTTATGCAGTTGGGCACCGCATGAGTGCCAGACGCTAGAAGCACAGGAGCGCGAGTCCGTGACCTCTCAGCAGCAGCGGCCGCCGTAGGAGGCAGGAAGAAGTGGTCGCCCGCCACCGAACATCGGCAGCATCAGCAGAAGAAGATGTTCCCTCTCTCTCCACGTGAACACAACACTACACACTCACCACATCACAACCTGCCGTGAACACTTGTTCATTATATGGTACTGACTTCTTTCAATAATATCGTCAACCTGCTGCGAACACTTGTTCATTATATGGTACAGGCTTCTTCCGATAACACGTTGCTTGACTTCAACCCCTGCTTGTTAAATTAACAGAGTCTTCAATACATTGCTGGTACCACCTTCAGCCACTTCAAAGTACCCGAGAACGCAAGCACACCGAACACACTTTCGTTTTGAGATGTTACGTATATATTTGAAATGCCAACCTTGCGCTGTAGTTTTGCCTCATGGAGTCGCGAGTAAATCTGCACCAAGTAAAAGTCAGAAGCTTGTCTTTCCGGGTTCCGTTATAAAATGCAAATAATTCACGCCCAAAAACATCAAATTTAGGGAAGTTTTTGTCTGAATAAAGTGAGTTTGACTAACGAATTTTAATACTCCTGTACATTTTATGTATGCTGTCATATTTGGGCTTAAGTTCTAGAATGTATAATCACTGAAATCTTTACTCCACATTCAACTCGATCAACATGTTGAGTGAGAATAAACTTTTTGAATGGCTTCAACTTAGAAATTTCAAGTTTTTTACCAGCTTTGAGTCTATTGCAGAATAAATTGAATTCCTTCTACCGCATTTCAATGAGCCGGAATGTGGTTTTGAATTTAAACAACAATGTCAACTAGGTACTTTTAAGACTTCATGGCTAAGTTGCTGGATGATAAGGCAATTCGTGCCCAAATTGCAAAATTGCTGGTTATTAAAAAATGAGCACTTCAAACTGGGCTTGCGCCTAAACTGAACCACCGGAGAAAAAGATGAACTAAGAAAAACGTGTGTCACGATTATGAAAATTGAACGACCGAAGATTACGAGAACCCGATAACACAGGAACCATGAGGGCTTAAAGACGAGTATAAAAACCATACTTATCCTGAGACATACATGAATTCGGCTGAATTAGGAAGAGTGATTCGAGATTTGGACTCACCACGTCACCGACGAGCAGCAGTGCAGAGGCTTGATGCTACTGAGAGGCCGCGGCTCTCACACAAAGCAACACAATAGCACCCATACCATAACACAGCCTAAAGTGAGCAGAGATAATACAATAGACACGGTGTGTGTTATGGCCTAAAGTGAGCAGAGATAATACAATAGACACGGTGTGTGTTATGGCCTAAAGTGAGCAGAGATAATACAATAGACACGGTGTGTGTTATGGCCTAAAGAAAGCTGAGATAATACAATAGACATGGTGTGTGTTATGGCCTAAAGTGAGCAGAGATAATACAATAGACACGGTGTGTGTTATGGCCTAAAGAAAGCAGAGCTAAGCTAATACAATAGACATTGCCAGCTGCTATATGCTTAACATTAAATTTCAGTTGTGCCTTAAGGACTCAAGTAATTTGATTTTTTTTTCTCCTGGAAAACCTGATGAAGCTGAACACGCTTCACAGGGAAAATGTCTAATTTTTTATATAATGATTCTCAGTTCGCAACCAAACACAAAGACATAAACAATGTTTTACCTACCCCGGCCCATGCTTAAGGCAATAAATTTACGATGACAATCACAACAACAAAATGCACTGTAATAAATACAAAATAAATGTGAATGGTTATGCAAAGCCTCACCCCGGAGGAGTGGGAGGTCTCTTGTATCCGAACTTAGTGTCGGTGCAGTTACGGGAGAAGTGGCCAAGTTCTCCACACTGGTAGCACCGCATGTCTCCGAAGCCTCTGCCCTGTCCAACAGCGCCAGGCTTGAAGCGGGGGCGTGCGTGAGTTACCTTCACTGTCTTGTTTCCGATGCGCCTGAACAACAATGCAAAATTAAATATGTAATTTAAATAAAATTTATTTTTATTCTACGTCTACAGTTCTAATATTTCAGTTATATTTTCAAATATATTCAATAAAATTGAAAATTTAATTCAACATTCATTTTCACCTTCAACCAACCACAAGCACAGTATTTTAAAGATATTTTACAACTTGGAATTAATGTAAATGTTATTTCCTGGAGACTTCACTAAATTTCCTTCATCTTACATTCCATCACGCTCAATAGCAGCGCTGTTAGCTTTAAATAATCTATATATTACATTCCATCACACTCAATAGCAGCGCTGTTAGCTTTAAGTAATCTATAGCTTACATTCCATCACACTCAATAGCAGCACTGTTAGCTTTAAGTAATCTATAGCTTACATTCCATCACACTCAATAGCAGCACTGTTAGCTTTAATTCTATATCTTACATTCCATCACACTCAATAGCAGCACTGTTAGCTTTAAATAATCTATATCTTACATTCCATCACACTCAATAGCAGCCTTGTCGGCAGCACTTTGTCGCTTGAAGACCACAAAGGCAAAGCAAGGCGGGTTCCTTGCCATCCAAATCTCCCTCACTGTGCCATACTTGCCAAATATGCGCTCCAGCTCAGACTTGCGCGTGTCATACTCTGCAACCAAAGTGACGTTAGTAATGAGATGTTGATGGAAGATATATTCATTATCAAGTCCAACAACAATTCTTTATGATCTTATTGAACAAAAATTTAGTGGAAAGAACGACTGCAGGATGAAAGCTGACTGAAAAGTATTATTATCAAGAATGATTGCAGCAAGGAAGTTTACTGGGAAAAACAATTGCAAGAGGAAAGTTTAAAGAGAATGGTTGCAGAAGAAAAAATATACTGTGAGGAATGATTGCACAAGGAAAGTTTACTGCAACAATGATTGGAGAAAAAATTACTAATAATTATGATTACACGAGGAAAATTTACTGGAAAATGATGGGTCAGGGAAGCCTTACTGAGCAGATCCAACATTTATTAGGTGGCATGACATTTAATCTAACACATTACCAGGTGCGGTCAATTGTTAACTAAAACCTTCAACCTATCAAGTGGTACACAAAATTGGAAACAAAATGTAAGAACAATCAAGACAAACAATGAATGCAGAAAAGAAGAGTTCTTATATTTTGAAATCCAAATATGATATTGGAATTCACATGGTTGCTTCATAGAACATAAGAAAACAGTTTGCATGTGTTGTGTGTCTTAGGGCCCATTAAAGAAAGAATTAATAAGAAAGTTTTCATTCTTTAGCACAACTAAGGAATGAACAACCAAATATTAATGTATTCCCAAGTGCAGAACAATTCAATACTGAATATCACTGTCAATGCAGCACTATTAAGAGCAGATTCCCAGGCCAGTTGCACAGTAGATCATTTTTGAGTAGGATCATAAAAGTGCACTTTTTAGAGCAAGATATTGATGCATTGTTTTGTATATTAGAAGGATGCACAGCAACCTAGGCTCCATCATACCCAATTCAGCAACATGGAGTCTGGCGCTCTCCATGGTGGGCGGACTCCTGCTGTTGCGACCATGTGACCTGTCGACAAGTCACATTACAATCTAGGACATGCTAATATGTTGGACATATGTAATGTATTGAAGCTAATGACAAGTAAGTAGCTCCAAATGATTTCTAATGTAATATATGTCATGAAACTTATGACGGGAATGCTGCTGCAAAGTATTTCTAATATAGTAAGAACCCATCCATTTTCTCTGTTATGTAAAGAAAGAGTTCAGATTTGAATACCAACCTCCCTCTTAACACTCCAATAACCATTCACAGCATATAATTTATTCCATAAATGAGTCTTAGTATTTAACTAATATTACTCCATAGTAACAAAAATGATGCAATTTGAGCTCAACACTTTTCTTAACATTTTAGTATTATTTATATTTCCAAATGATAGCAATATTTTGAAAAGCAACACTTAAATGTGAAAAAGTATATGCCATTAAATCCCATTACCTTGATTTGCTTCTGGACCGTTTAGATCTTTTACGGTCCCGTGATCTCGATCGTGACCTGTGATGTCGGTGCTCCTTGCTTCCACTCCGGCTTCTGGAGCGGCTTTTGTGATGATCACGACTATGAGACTCTTGCTGTGACTGTGATTCTTCTTCATCGGGATTTTTGCCATTGCCTTCAGGCTGGTCTTCTTGCATAGGCCTGAGTGAGTGTCATATCATAATAGATGTTTTACACTTTCTTAATCTATGGAAATTTAGAGCATTGGTGTTTTAATGGTTTAAAATTAAAATGATCATGTTGGTCATTTCTTGAGGCATCAAATGATCTCAGTTAGAATGTATATTTGGTTATTTAATGGAACAGAGGAGAATCTTTCTACAATGCAAAATAATTCAGTTGATGCATATACACTATCTTGCATGATAAAGAGCCTCACAAAGTAGCTAAAATTAAATAAATTACAACATAGACATCAACATCTTCTGTCATCATTTATCTCACCAGTAATAACTACCTTGGTTTTCTACCAACGTTGCTGAGACAACCAAGATAAGTAGGAACCTGGCTGTTTTAGAACATATGCTCCCTTCTTAAGAGGCTTAGCACTCAGCTTTCACTGTTCAAGCTGCTTGAGTTCCCTGGCATTTTACACAACCAAGGGATTGTGGACATATGGCATACAGGAGACTTTTTGTTGACCTACCCTATCAAGTCAGTCCTAAAAGTAGATAAGTATTGTATATAATTGATTCTGGTACAACATACCAGATATTGAACAAAATATTGGAGTAGATTAAGAAATTAGGATGAACAGGTTTCTATAAAACCTTTCCTATACCACTATGCAGAGAGGGAAGAGTTCAACATGTGCTGCCTACACTAAGTGAATAAATCATATGGTACCTGGCATATTTTTGTCTGCCCTTTCCCTATGACCCTAATCATCTTTTCTGTCGGACAGTTCCGTGGAAGCACTCGTCTTCTTGGCCACTACCTGAACCACCCCCACCCCCATAAGCACATAGGCCCAAAAAATTTCTTTGTCCGTGGTAGTTGGTACACAGAAAACCAAAATTCCTATCAACTTATGATTAATTGGGAGAAAAGAGAAATAAAACGTATATTAATTACATAGGTACTTACTTATTGATGCCATTGGCATGTGGAGCAATGTCATCGCTTTCCATAGCTGCTACTACAAATCAGGACTAGGTTGAGCAATTGGTTAACCTCCAACTAATAAATTTATCTAATTACCATTGAACATTTGGAAAATAATCTGAAAATTTGAAATGAAATGAACACAGATCAAATAAGGAGCTTAAAAGATTAAGCTTTTCTTCATTTCATATGGAATAATAAATAGAAAATGTGGCTACTGCAAAAGGTATAACGCAAAAGCTATCAATGAGATATTGTTTAGAGTTTATTCAAGAGGAGTTGATTAGTATTGATATTTCAGTTTCTGGTATAAATTCAATATTGTAAAAAATTGCTAGAAATTTTAGAACATATTCAAGTAACTTCAAACCCTTAAACAAAGCAATTACTAAATATATAACAAGAATATTGTTAACATAAATATTTACAATAAAATGCAACATTTTGCAAGTTAAAATATTTTTATTACAAGTTTTAGAGCTAGAGCAAAAGTATAGATTTCATTAGATTCACCACCCAATCTACAATATTGTAATAATTATCCAAAAATTGCCAGTAAAAACAATCATTTCACATGTGATTTTCTAAAATTGTAGCCAAAATTTTGCAATTTTTATTAATTTTCACATAACATTAACAAATTAGGCAATGCAATAGGAATGAGTGAAATTATACCTAAACAAGGATTATGAAGGATAGCCATTTTTGATTGATTCATGCACGACTTCTATTAAATTCTACAGTTTGGTCACTTTGGTGCACCATCGTTCAAACTCATTAACTTGGGTTTTCAAAAATGCAGTCATGACATGGAGACTCTCAGACTGGAGAAAAAGTTAAGATTTTCGATGATTTTCTCAATTGCTACTAAATAATAATTAAGTCTGCAAAGTTGGAAATTGGAATTCACTTGGAGAACATTCTGGAATAGCTAGTGGGCAGTGGGCGGTATTATTGCAGATTAACTACATCCAAAAAAAAGGGTGTTTTTTTTTGAATTATATGTTTTTTGGGGTGTAGATTACGAATCTGAAATCCATTTTTGGCGGTCGGCATCGGAAAACCGATTTTTTTCGTTTTTTTAGATAGCATTTTGATCTAAAAGGAACCTGGGCGAACCAACCCAACCTGCGAGTTGGCGTTAGGTTGTGATCTCTCGATGTGGCAATGTATCTCCAGATTTATGGACAAAGAAGACGAAAATGTTTCTCGTTGCAGTGCAACGGGTAACATTTTCGTCTTCTTTACCCGTTGCAGTGCAGATTTTAGGCATTTTTAGCGCGATTTTTGGGTCGGAAAAAAATCGGTTTTCCGATGCCGACCGCCAAAAATGGATTTCAGATTCGTAATCTACACCCCAAAAAACATATAATTAAAAAAAAAACACCTTTTTTTTTTGGATGTAGTTAATCTGCAATAATACCCAGTGGGCACTGGGCAGAATTTATAAAATATCTTGAGAAAAACAATTGTTTTGGAGATGACTTTAAAAAATTACTGGTAAAACTAGGCTTATGTCCACTACCTAGAATATTTTAAACCAAGATTGAAATTTTTCTTTGACTAGTTAGTCCTAAAATCAAAAAAGTCAGTCTGAAATCAAGTCCTAGGCTAACTCTAAAAAAATTTTTTGAATAAATTTAGAATCTTGCAACCTGGTTCTACACTACTAACGCTAGGCCTACTACTAATAATAATGAGATTTAGGAGGATTCACCTTTCACCTATAACTGACAGTGAGTATATGTAACAAGAAATTAACAAGTAACAACAATCAACATAACCAAAGGTTGAAGAGATGACATCATTGACATGTATTAAAAAGTTGATCACATTGAACATTGTGTTATTTTCCATTTTCATCTATTTTTAAGCATACTTTTTTCGGCATAACACGATAACACAACAAAACATACTTAATAAAATAAATGTACGATGCTGACCGCCTTCACTTGTTACCAGGTTGACGTTGAAGTGATCGACTAACCGATTCGCGAAGTCGGGTAAAAGAACGCCACAGGCCCACATCACGGTCACATAACAACCCAAAAATCTACACAGAAACTTGACTGAAATGTTAAAGTAAAAAGATCATGTGAGAGGAACGTAGCGTAAATATGTGGTGCTGATAAATGGTCACTGAGGTGTGTAGCGACGAAATGAGTTGTAAAGGTATTTTTTTTTTCAGAATTTTGGCCACGCAAAACAGGCGATGGCCACGAAGCGAATTTTCAAAGTTTTAATACTATGTGCTGATATAGCGTCATGTAGTTTGTATGTTACGTTTGGACATGAGGATTTTCCAGTAGCAACACCGTGCGGTTTTGGCCAGCGGCCGTTTCAGGGGCCTGATCCTGAAATGCCTTTTCTTTCTCATAGTCACCGCATAAAATAGAATATATCAGATAAATAATATATTAGAATTCATTATATTGAACATTACAAGATCTGTTCTCATAACAACGATGAATTTTGTTCAGCAGACAGCTGAAAATTTTACTACGTCATGAAGTTCCTTATACACTATTAGAATAGAATAGACTAGAATAGAATAGAAGTGTCGGCACTGAAGAAATAGGCTCATGGCCTGTTGCCGATTCTTGACTTAATTTTTCGTGACTTGATTCACAAGGGATCCAACATTTGGAACCCGATCTTTCCATAACTGACGATTGATTGAGATAGCTGCTGGACTTATTGTCTGGTCCGTATTTTGCTAGGCATTTTAAGACTGAACATATGCTCCTGCATAGCTTCGTCTAGTCTGTTTTTGAAGATGTTCATACTCGGAGCTTCAACGATGCTATCAGGGAGGCTGTTCCACATGTCGGTGACTCGAAGCGAGAAGAAATGTTGTCGCATGGATGTGTTCCAACGCTGTTTTTTTAGTTTATAGCCGTGGCCCCTGGTGTTGGTTCTTGTTTCAAATTCTAGTAATCCTTCTGGGACCTTGTATAAGCCATGAGTATATTTGTATACTTCAATGAGGTCCCCACGCAGACGTCGATAATGGAGGCTTGGAAGCTTCATAATCTTTAATCTTTCCTCATAGGACTTGCCTTTCAAGCCCGGAACTATCCTTGTTGCGCGTCTTTGAACACTCTCTACTAAATTTTTGTCCTTTTCAAATTTCGGTGACCACACGACGTTTCCAAACTCCAGGTTCGGGCGCACGACAGCAACAAACAACTGCTTCATCGTTTCTAAATCTAGGAACTCGAAAGAGCGTCTGATCAGTCCAAGTCGTTGATTGGCTTTATTAACTTGACCTTCAATATGCTTAGAAAATTTCAACTCATTGTCGATATTAACTCCTAAATCCTTTTCCGTTGTCGACTTCGACATCATCACTCTGTCGTTGCAACCGTGTCTTCTCATACTGTAATCTTGCTGTTCATTATTCTTGCCAAGGTGGATAACTTTACATTTGTCAGCGTTAAAACGCAGCTGCCACTTATCAGCCCAGTCAACCAGCCTGTCAAGATCACCTTGCAACTGTACTTTTTGCGACGTATTCTTCACCGTATTATAAATTTTTGTGTCGTCAGCATACATCGAGCAAACGCTAGACACAGCTTCTGGCAGATCGTTTATAAACGCAACGAATAGAATAGGCCCGAGAACGCTTCCTTGTGGCACGCCGCTGCGCACTGAAGCCCAGTCTGATACGGACCCATTAATACTGACACGTTGTCGCCTCCCTACTAGAAAATCTCTGATCCATTTGAGTACATTACTCTCAATTCCCAAAGACTTCAATTTACGCAACAGCCGCTCATGTGGGACACTGTCAAATGCCTTGGCAAAATCGAGGTACACTGCTTCTACTGGCTCTTTTATCTTTTTATGAATCTACTGGCTCTTTAAATGCATAGTATTATTTTATAATATTTATACATTTTATTGCTCAAGCTGCACGCTCACGATAATTTAATTGATGGGGAGATATCACTCACGAACTTTCTCGAAATTTAATATTGTAATATGAAAGAGACCTATTATGAATATTATAATAATGTACAGGTATTATGTCCTGCCTATATTGGCTGAATGTCACATACTTCTGTTAATTGTATAAAATAAATGTTTTGTTCAATTGCAGCCACACAAAGCAAAGTCAAATACGAATGAACAATCCGAAGATTGTCAGCAATTGCCAAAGATTGGCAATCATTAGTCATGGATTCTAGCTAAAAGCATGCGAGTAAAGATGCACATTTAAGTTGTTGAACGTGCAAAAATTTTGTGCAACTTCGAAGACAAAAAAAAATTAAAACATTTGGTGATAAAGTTGTGCAAAGTACAGTACAGGCAACCCGACTGAATCAGTCCCCATTAATATTTTTCGTGAAGTAATGAATTTATGCATTTTCATCATGATTATTTTGATTTCAAAAATATAGATTAGAAATCCTTTTCTGACTGTAATTATTCTAGAAATCCTCGTTGAAATCAGTTGTCCGTTCGTTGCAGTCAATGGAATACTCTCACTTGAAATATAATTTTACTACAACTGAGAAAGTTATTGGCTCTAAAAAGCAGAAAATGAAGGGATAAAGAGACTAGGTGGTTTGAAAATAAATTCGATCATTGACCTAAAAGAATGTACAGAAAACCACACTAATTCTTAAACAAAAAAATGTAATCATGAAAAATTCTTGTTTCCTTTGTCCAAGCATCAAACTAATCGAACAAGTCGCTCAAGGTTAAAAATCGATTCTTTTTGTAGGTCCAGGCGTTTTATGTATATTTTGATAGGAGTTTAATTCCGTGCTGTGAAGTAGGCAATGAACCGTGCTGGACCGTGGAGGCCATGGTTGAACTAGTATATAGTTCAACCATGGTTCAACCATGGTGAAGGCAATCTGGACAGGTTTGGACCGTGCTGCTGGTAATCTGGAGCTGGTAACTTGACTATTTTCTGACCCGCGGACTTGTAACTAAAATGACACTGTGGGATTCGGAAAAATTGTGGGATTCGGGGATTTCTTCATTTGAATTAATTACTCGTCGACGTGTCAAAAAACTGTTCACGAAGGCCGTCGCAGTCTGTGGGCTAGCCGCTTGGGTTGTGCAATGTCAATGTACGTTATTTAGATCTCAGTTGGGTGGTTATGGATAAGTAAATCTTAATGTCAGTACAG